GTTTAGTATTTGTCAATGTGTTGGTTGTTTTTTTTTGCGGGGGGGGGGGAGTAAGTTTTTAAAAAATATATACTTTTTATTGATTTTTTACAGAGAGGAAAGGAGAGGGATAGAGAGTTAGAAACATCAATGAGAAACATCAATCAGCTGCCTCCTGCACAGCTGTGCCCCAACCAAAGTACATGCCCTTGACCAGAATTGAACCTGGGCTGATGCTTTATCCACTGAGCCAAACCGGCTAGGGCGAGGGCGGTAAACTTTACATACAATAAGATGTATACACCTTAAGAATACCATTAGGTAAAAATGACAAGTGCACCCTGCTGGTGTGGCTCCTTTGGCTGAAGCTTCGTCTGGTACACCGGAAGGTTGCAGGTTCAATCTCTGGGGCATTTACAGGAGGCAACTGATGGATGTTTCTCTCTCTTCCCCTCTCTAAAAAAATGCACATAAAAAACAAGTGCATCTGTGACTTACTTTCCTGCCTCGATAAAGAACTTTTCTCCATAGAGTTCTCTCCTCTTTTCAGTTAAAACCTGCCTCTCCCCTATGGAACAAGGGAAGAACACCAGTAGTACAATTTTTCCACCATAGACTTAGTTCTGCCTGTTCTAAAACTTTCTAAGTGTAATCTGTATATGCTTAAAATTCATGTTGAAGATATTAATAGCTTCTTTTTGTTGCCGAGTGGTTTTCTATTACCTATATAAACATTATGCTTTGTCCATTCTCATGTTGATGGACACCTGAACTATTTCAAATTTGGGGCTATTATGAATAAAACTATTATGAACATTCTTGTACAAATCCTTTTGTGGACATAGTATTTTCATTTCTTTTGAGTAAAAATTTAGTGGAATTGTTTTGGACTAGGTGTATGTTTGGTTTTCTAACCAAAGTTGTGTAGTTAATGCTTTCACTAACAGCAAATGAGAGTTCCATGTCCCTTGCGGGGCATTCTTGGTGTTTTTATTTTTTAGCCATTGTGGTTGGTATGTAATAATATCTCGTTGTGGATTTAATTTGCATTTTCCTAATGACTAAATGCTGTTGATCACTTCCTTTGCTTATTTCCAATTCATATATTTTCCTTTAAGAAGTAACTGATTTAAAAAAAGAAGAAAAAGAAGTAACTGATATTTTTTGCCCATTTTAAAATTGACTGTCATTTAATATTGAGTTCCGGGAATCCTGCATTTAAATTATATAAGATCATCGCCGAAACCGGTTTGGCTCAGCGGTAGAGCGTCGGTTTGCGGACTGAAAAGTCCCAGGTTCGATTCCGGTCAAGGGCATGTACATTGGTGGCGGGCACGTCCCTGGTAGGGGATGGGCAAGAGGCAGCTGGTCGATGTTTCTCTCTCATCCACGTTTCTAGCTCTCTATCTCTCTCCCTTCCTCTCTCTAAAAAATCAATAAAATATATTTTTAAAAAAATAAAAATAAATTATATAAGATCATGGTAGGAAAGATTTATTGCAGGACATTCCTTTAAATGGAAAAAGCCTGAAGGTTTGAGTTGAACAAAAATACATTTATAATTTCATTTGTTTTAGCAAATGGTTGTTAATACTAGCCATGTACTGAGCACTAGTATTAGAGATACAGAAATAATACCCAGTCCTCACTTCAAGAAGCCCGTAGATTACAAGGTAGATGTAATCTATGGGTAAATGTAAAGTAAAAAAAAAAATAAATAAATAAAAAATAAATAAAAATAAAATGATGTGGTGGTTTCAATGATACTTCAAAAAATATTTACTGAGTACTTACTATAGAGTAGGTACAATTTTTTGTAGGTATTATAGAATAGAAGTAGGCAAACCAGATACAGTTCCTACTCTAATACAGTTTATTTTCTGGAGGCCATGAGATTGATATTTTGTGTGTGTGTGTGTGTGTGTGTGTGTGTGTGTGTGTGTGTGTGAGAGAGAGAGAGAGAGAGAGAGAGAGAGAGAGAGAGAGAGAGAGAGAGAGAGAGAGGAGAGAGAAATGAAACCTGGGCTGGAACATACTTTGTGACAAGATAATTAGTTAGGAAAGTGTCAGAGTTAGACAAGGTTAGGTCTTGCAGGGCCTTGTAGACCATAGAGCGCACTTTGGATTTTATTTTTGAGTGTTAGGAAGCAGAGTTCTAAGCAGAGAAACTGAAAAATGTCATGGTCTGGTCTCTTGTTTGGCTAACAGGAGAGAGAGAGAAAATGGGGGGAGGGGGTGGTTGCAGAAAAACTAACAAGCAAACCATTGCAATCATCCCCAGAGGAGAGAGAATAAATCCTACATGGGGAAGGTCTGTAAGGCATCATAAAGGAATAAAATTGTAGCCAAACCTTGGATGACAAGGCATTTGCTAGGCAGGAAAATCAGAAGTATCAGCATGTATGTTTGAGGAACCAGACATTGCTTTGATGACTAGTTGTGTGGGTGGTGAAACAGCAGGGATAGAACAGTCTGGGAAAGGCTTTGAAGGTTAAATTGGGGACACAGAATTACCACATTATACAGCTACTGATTCTGTGTAGATGTGTCCTCTGGGGTTGTGCCACAGGTGGCCCAGCTAGGGACTTTGGCTCTGAATCTAAGGGCCATAAGCAGCTGTAAGAGCTTCTAGTTAGGGTAGAGACTCTGAAAGCTGGCATCAATATGACCAAGTGAGGCAGTGCTAAGGAGGAAAAATCAGGGAAGAGGCAAGAGACAAACCTAAAAGTTAGGTAGGGGTTGTTACATTGGGAGCAGAGGCTTTAGGCTTAGATTGAATATTCAGTTGAACTTCAGGTGTGGATTGAGAGAAAATGCTGAGGCCCTTTAACAAATACAAAATAAGTAGTATAAAATCTTGAAACAGTAGAGAAATGTATAGAGTGTATCGAAGTCTCACCTTCATTCCAGTCCTCTGAGGTGTACATAAAAGTTGCGTTTATTTGGTGTCCCTTCCATTTTTCCTAGTGTGTGTATTTTATGTAAATATTCAATTCTATTGTATATACACGCAATTGAAGTTTAAAATGGAGTCATACTTTTCTTACCGTTAAATACCAATATTATAGTTCTGCCTTAGTAATTTGTACCTGCTACTCAGAATCTATTGTTTGAATGTCCCATAATTAGTCACTACCCAATACGCTGTCTCAAATTTTTCACTGTTCTCAGCAATAGTGAAATGAGCATTCTTCATTTGTTTCTATACTGTGCAAACATTACTTCAGAGAATATGTTAGGTAAGAAGCAGGAGTCAGATTGTGACTGGGGGAGATACTGGGCTCCCTCGGTTTGTGTGTTCTGCTCTGGCTCTGGCCTTTGGGAACCCTCCTGGGGATGAGCAGGCTGGCCGGAAGTCCGTAAGCCACATTCTAGGGGCAGTATTCAAAAGAGCAAGGGCTGTTTCTCCAGATGTTAGCAAGGAGTTTCATGTTTCTAGGTATCATGGTTTCTCAGAGTGAAATGGAATAAGGCTTTTCTGTGGAATTTTCGACTGGGGATGAAATAGGACTAATGTGTAGAAGTGAGAACTCAACAGACTTGGTTTGGTTTGGGTAGGTCTTTATGGAGCAGGGCTTTCTGATGAATGGATTTTAAGAAATGGGTTTTTCACCATTGGATGCATCCAAATAGAGGCTGAGGTGCTATGGAGAGGCAGTATGTGAAGCAAATTGAACTCTTAAGAATTATTCCAACTTTGGTTGATGGCATTCAAGATGGAGATCATGAAGTACCAAGATGGGAACAGCACTAACTGTGCTGGGTTGGGGGAAGGATTGACTGAGGGCCTTTAAAGGAGGCTGGGACTGGAGACATCCTGGGCATGGTGCTGAGAAACCTGGAATGCTGAATGTTAAGCTGAAAGAGGGGAGGGATCTGACCTTATTTGCACCTCTGGTGGTCTGCAGGTGTATGGGTCAGGGGGAACACAGGGATAGTGAAGAGTCTGAGGATAATTGTTATGGTGACTGTAGGAGAAGGGGGTTACATGGGAATGAATCATGGTGGCTCATGCTAGAAGATAGTGTTTCCAGAAGAGGAAGTGGATGAATTGGAGAAGTTTGGTGGTATTTGATTGCCAACTTGGAAATGGCTGGGCTGGGCGTTAAGGCTGGATGTGACCTATTGGATTTCATTCAATAAATATTTATTGTGTAGGTGTTTGGGATAGAGCAATGAACAGAAGAGACAAATATCCCTTCACAGAGCTCTCATTCTAATGGGAAAAACAAATTATATAAGTTTATATAGGTATTACAAAGCGATAAATACTAAAGAGTAAACACAAGAAAAAGCCTTGGGATGTGCTGGTGACAGTGGGGTTAAAATTTTAATATGTCTATTAAAAAGAGCCCTTTCCTCCATAAGATGATTTTGAATAAAAAACCTGGAGAGATGAGGGAACAGCAAGCCATGTGGATATGAGGTTCAGAGCATTCCATGCTTTAAGGTTTAGAAATAAGCTTCTTTGAGAAATGCCAAACAAGCAGACCTGTGTGGCCAGAATGTAGTGAGCAAGAGAGAAGGTAGTAGGAGATCAGGTTAGAAAAATCCAAATCGTTTAAGACCTTGTAGGCTCTGGTAGAGTTGGATTTTTTCCTAAGCAATGGGAAGTCATTGGCGGGTTTGGGCCTAGGTGTGACATGACCCTACGTTTTAACAGGACCCCGTGGTTGCTGTATTAAGAATGGCTTGCCCCGTATTTTCCGGCATATAAGACGACTTTTGAAACGAAAAAAAAAATCAACCGAAAATCGGGGTTAAAGACCAAAATTGCACACAAATTACCTGCAGATCTTGACGGCAAAGTAAGTCTTTTCTTTAAAGTGAGGGGTAGTCTTATACAGCGAATATAGGCCTAAACCTATGTTTTAACTAAAATTAGGGGGTCGTCTTATACGCCAGAAAATACGGTGTTGGTGTGAGGATGTCTTGGGGGTGGACGGCTCAGCCTGCCTGGTGTAGTCTTCTTGCCTTCCCAAGCTGAGACATACCTTTGGTGTTTGATCCTTTTCCCCTAGATGGCCCGCTGTGTGACCTTGGTTCAGCTGTCCATTTCCTGTGACCACCTCATCGACAAGGACATTGGCTCCAAGTCTGACCCGCTCTGCGTCCTTTTACAGGATGTGGGAGGGGGCAGCTGGGCTGAGGTGAGGAGGACCATGCGGGTTAGGGTTGTGGAGGTTACCTAGGGTTGTTTCAGGGCGGAAGGTATGTGACTGTGATGCTTATTGGCCTCTGCCCACAGCTTGGCCGGACTGAGCGAGTACGGAACTGCTCGAGCCCTGAGTTCTCCAAAACTCTGCAGCTTGAGTACCACTTTGAAACAGTCCAGAAGCTCCGGTTTGGCATCTATGACATAGACAACAAGACACCTGAGCTGGGGGATGATGACTTCCTCGGAGGGGCTGAGTGTTCCCTGGGACAGGTACGTGGAGCCAGAGATGGCACAGGTTTGGTAAGATCCCTGTCAGACAACCCAGACAGCTTGGGACATGGAGGGTGGGGGTCAAGCAGGACTTAACAGCCTGAGATTTTTTTTTTTTCTTGCTGCCTGAGATCTTGACCATTTCTTCCTCCCTCCTGTGCCCCAGATTGTGTCCAGCCAGATACTAACTCTACCCTTGATGCTGAAGCCTGGAAAGCCTGCTGGGCAGGGGACCATCACTGTAAGAAAGAACTCCGTAAGGGGGGTGTCGGGGATTTGACGTTAATGAGGAATTTATGAAGTGATACCATCTCCTCCCTCCCTTACCTAGGTCTCAGCTCAGGAGTTGAAGGATAGTCGTGTAGTAACCATGGAGGTGGAGGCCAGAAACCTGGATAAGAAGGTGTGTATGGAAGGGGGCACTGGCAGTGTTCTCCCCAAGAATTAAGGAGGCTGGTGTGGTGTGATGGGGGCTGAGGTGGGGTCAGAGGTCTGGCATAGTGGTGGTTTCTCCCTTAATCTTACAGCAGGTCTCTGTGGCATTGACAGGACTTCCTGGGGAAATCGGATCCATTCTTGGAGTTCTTCCGCCAGGGTGACGGGAGATGGCACCTGACATACAGATCTGAGGTGAGGACCCTGGGATTGGGTGGGATGGCCTGGGGTAAGAGAGAATCTCCTGGGGCTTATGACTACCAAGGCTTGGGACACGGAGAAAGAGACTACTGCGTTTGGTTAGCAAAAGGGAGGCAGCTCCCCACACATCCCACGTTCACTTCAGGCCTTGCCCTCTTTTCGCCTTCAGGTAATCAAGAACAACCTGAACCCCACGTGGAAGCGCTTCTCTGTCCCCCTTCAGCACTTCTGTGGGGGGGACCCCAGCACCCAAATTCAGGTGAGGAGCTGTCTCTTGAGTTACTGAATGGGGGGCAGAGTCCAGGGGGACTTATTCTTACCTGGCACCTACCTCCTGTTCTTTATATACATACACACCTCCCCCCCAGGTGCGATGCTCAGACTATGACAGTGATGGTTCGCATGACCTCATTGGCACCTGCCACACCAGCTTGGCCCAGATGCAAGCAGCCCCGGTGAGTGCTGGCCCTGCCCCGGGGAGAAGAGGAGAGGGGGCAGGGCACCTTAATTCCGTTTTGGCTGATGCTCTGAGTTTCCTACCCTAATTTTTCTTTCCTCACCAGATGGAACTTGAATGCATCCACCCTGAGAAGCAGCAGAAAAAGAAAAGCTACAAGAACTCTGGGATTATCCGTGTCAAGATTTGCCAGGTGAGACTAATAACCCATGAGACCCAGGCTCTGACCCCTGAGTCCCATGGCCCCAAGCCCTTGACCTCAGTCGTGACCCTGGTCTCACCTGCAGGTGGAAACAGAGTATTCATTCCTGGACTATGTGATGGGAGGCTGTCAAATCAACTTCACTGTAAGTTGCTTTACCAGGAGCAAGAAAACCCAGCTGGGGCTTAAGGTGGCCTTCAGCTTCCCCTCTCCCACCCTCCTAGGTGGGCGTGGACTTCACCGGCTCCAACGGGGACCCCTCTTCACCTGACTCCCTGCACTACCTGAGCCCAACAGGGGTCAACGAGTATTTGACAGCACTGTGGAGTGTGGGCTGCGTGGTGCAGGACTATGACTCGTGAGTAGCTGCTCCTCTTGCCCATCCTCACTCCCTGCAGATGCCTCAGTCTCCGGGCTGACGGCGTCCTCACTGCCTCTTTCCCAATTCACTGTCCTCCAGGGACAAGATGTTCCCCGCGTTTGGATTTGGGGCCCAGGTGCCTCCTGACTGGCAGGTGAGTACTCTTCCCCCATCATACTTGTGTTTTCCATTTCAGGGTCATGATTTTTGGGATGCAGTGCACTTGCTGTCTGGCACCCAGCTTTATGCATGATTACAATCCTACAGGCATGTGTGCAGCAAGCGCTCAGGACTAAATAGCTCCTATTTGATGCTTGGTACATACCACGATGCCCTTTTGCTGAATAAAAAAGTGATCATAGGGGGAAGAGCTCATTTTAATTCTTGCCCTCAGGTCTCCCATGAATTTGCCTTGAACTTCAACCCCAGTAACCCCTACTGTTCAGGTAAGACCCCATTTCTCTTTGTTAATGAATAAGGCAGATCTGATCACAACTAGAGGGCCAAGCCTGTGGTGGCAAGAGAGTGTGACTCCATTGTCCCAAAGAATGGATTTTAGAGATAGGCCTCTGGACTCAAACCTTCATCCTGCCACTTACTAACCATGTGTTTTGGGGCCATTTGCTTAGCATCTGTGTGCTGTAGGATACAATATTGTGGGATATTGAATATTTAAGGAGAGGATGTGTATAAAGTTTGAAGCAATAAGCCTGGTACATAAGAAGTGCTCTCTTAAAAAAATGGTGGTGGTTATAGTATACTCTGCCTAGAAAAAAGGCATCAACTCTTTTGTCTAAAAAGGGCCAAACCTTGTGGCTCCCCAGCTGCTCTTTTTAAAACACACACACACACACACACATTTTTATTGATTTCAGAGAGGAAGAAATATCAATAAGAGAGAATTATTGATTGGCTGCCTCCTGCATGCCCTCCCACTAGGGACTGAGCCTGTAATTCAGGTATGAGCCCTTGACCAGAATCGAACTTGGGACCCTTCAGTCCACAGACTGACGCTCTATCCACTGAGTCAAACTGACTAGGGCTCAGCTGCTCTTCATGGGCAACAAACCAAAGTGGAAAACTACCTAATTGTCTTTCTTTTTTTTTTTTTTTTTTTTTTTTTTAACATGAGTTCAGACTTATAGAAAAGTTCTCAGAATGTTTATAGGGGGGTCACATCATTGGACTCAGAGATCAGGGTCTGGGTCACAGGGACTGTTGTTTATCTTTACCCAGATTCTCCAACTCAAATTCTCTCCTCTCTTTCTTTCTCTCTCTCCCTCCCTCCCTCCTTCCCTTCCTCCCTCCCTCCCTCCTCTCTCTCTCTATCTCTCTCTCTCTCGATATATATTCTGGAATATATATCGAGAATTGTAGTAAATTGGTAAAAAAAAAAAAAACATGCACATGGCCCTTTATACCTAAATACTTCGGAATGTGTTTCCTAAAAGCAAAGACACTCTTATATAACTACAGTGCAATTCTCAAAGTCAGAAAATTAACTTCAATACTATTATCCAATCTATAGAATTTATTCAAACTTAACCAATTTTCTTGTCTTTTTCTTTTTCTTTTTTTCTCTCTTCAATTGTCCTGTCTTTTACAGTAAAAGAAAATCTTAGGTCACATGTTGCATTCAATTGTTTTGTCTTCTTGAGTTCATGCTTTGCATGATACTGACATTGTTTAAGATTACAGGCTAGCTGAAACCGGTTTGGCTCAGTGGATAGAGCATTGGCCTGTGGACTGAAAGGTCCCGGGTTTGATTCCGGTCAAGGGCATGTACCTTGGTTGCGAGCACATCCCCAGTAGGGGGTGTGCAAGAGGCAGCTGATTGGTAATTCTCTCTCATAATTCTCTCTCATCAATGTTTCTAATTCTCTATTCCTCTCTCTCTTCCTCTCTGTAAAAAATCAATAAAATTTGTTAAAAAAAAAAATTACAGGCTAGATAATTGTAGAATGCCTCTCAGTCTGGAGTTACCTGATACTTTTTCATTGTTAGATTCAGACTATGCATTTTGGTGGGAGCACTGCAGAAATGATGCTGTGCTCTCTTCTTGGTGCACCACACCAGGAGGCACATGCTGTTGATTTAGCCTATCAGCAGCCATGTTAACGTGATCGCTTGGTTACAGTACAGTCTGCCAGGTTTCCCTGCTGTGCAAGTACTGTTTTTCTCTTTGTAATGAATAAGTATCTTTTTATACAAATATCTAATTACTCATCTTTTACCCCTTCTAGTTGTAGCATCCATTGATGATCCTCACCTGAATCAGTTATCTCTGATTGTCAAATAATTTTGTAATCTTTCTACTTTTATTAAGAGCTTTCCCTTATCTCTCATTATTTATTATTTTATTAAATGGATTGTAATTCATTATGTTATGAATTTTAATTTGATGCTCAACTGCCTTGGATTTCTCAGGGTATTCCCCTAATCTGGGTTTTAATTCAGGCTCTGAGATAGGGCAGGTGTCCCCTGTCTTTGGCCTTACTTTCCTCATCGGTAGGATGAGGTTAAGTACCCTGGGTTACCAAGGTGATTGAATGAAATGCACCAAGTTCCCAAACTTCCTCACCCAGGATGGGGTGATGTCAGGACTGGCTCAGTCCCGCGTGGGCCGGTATTTTATAGTGGTTTTTGCCCTTCTACTCTAGGTATCCAGGGTATTGTGGAAGCCTACCGTCTAGCCCTGCCCCAAGTTCGCCTCTACGGCCCCACCAATTTTGCACCCATCATCAACCATGTAGCCAGGTTCGCAGCGCAGGCTGCACAGCAGAGGACTGCCTCGGTGAGAGTGGTGGGAGTTGGTGGTGGTGGTGGGTGGTCTCGGTCAGTGGCTCCCTTTAGGGCTCCTGTCAGTGTGGGAATGTGTGGCTGGGGTTTAAAGGTCTGCCTCACTGTATGAACCCACTTGCCCCCAGCAATACTTCGTGCTGTTGCTGCTGACGGACGGTGCCGTGACTGATGTGGAGGCCACACGCGAGGCTGTCGTCCGCGCCTCTCACCTGCCCATGTCGGTGATCATTGTGGGCGTGGGGGGTGCTGACTTCGCGGCCATGGAGCAGCTGGATGCTGATGGTGGGCCCCTGCGGACACGTTCCGGGGAGGGAGCTGCCCGGGACATAGTGCAGTTTGTGCCCTACCGCCGCTTTCAGAACGTGAGTGGGGCAAGCTGGGGGACAGCCAGATCTGAGCGTGTACCCTCTACCTTTCCCTGATGTAAGAGTTTAGAGATACCCTTTCCTCTAAGGGGCAGGGTTGGGTGTTGGGTTTCCTATGCCTTCGTGGGTATGATATTTAGGCCTTGGGAAGCTGTTATGGGCCCCCACTGACCTTGCCCCTCTTCTCTGGCAGGCTCCTCGGGAGGCATTGGCACAGACCGTGCTTGCAGAAGTACCTGGACAACTGGTCTCCTACTTCAAGGCCCAAGGTTGGGCCCCATGCAAGCCGCTTCCACTCCCAGCCAAGAGCCCCGCACAGGCTCCTCAGCCCTAGATTCTCCTGGAGGATAGGTTGTGGCTGGTCCTCAGCCCTGTGTCCCCAAGGGCCATATGTACCCAGTGCCTACCCCTGCACACACTGCCCAGTGCTAGCACTTTATATTTTATACTTTTATATTTGCTCCTGCTATTGCTGCTCCTGGTTGTACCTTTTTGCCCCTGGGGCCCCTCAGTCAATAAAGACCAATGATGACCACTGCTTTGTCAACCTGTTTTTGGGTGGGAATCTGATATTAGCCATGTTTGCTTCTCCTGAGCCTGTTTGTTGACTTTAGGGATTGAATGAAGGGTGCCTCTTACATAATAGCCTCACTCAAAGATATAGGGTCTTTCTAGCTAGATATCTAGGGACATTGACTCTATTTTTGAAAATAAAAAAATTGAATGTAAACCAAATACCCTGCCTGCCCTGCCTCAGAGCGGAACTGAGCTGGGGACGCAGGACAAGGTGGAAAGTATTAGGGCAGGGATGGGCTTTAAGATGGAGCAAGGGCTATGCTATATCTCCTGGGGAGGGAGCAGTGGACGTTCTAGTCCTAAAATAGGCCACAAGCCAGAATTTTTTAACAGCATTTACAGGGGTGTTTCAGAAGGATTAGTTCCTTGAAATGGAAATGTTAAGTCAGTATATTTAAAAATTGAATATTGTGCCTGGCCAGTGTGGCTCAGCAGTTGAACATCAACCCAGGAGCCAGTAGGCCACAGGTTCAATTCCCAGACAGGGCACAGTTTTGGATTGTGGGCTCAATCCCCTGTGGAGTGCATGTAGGAGGCAGCCCATTGGTGATGTTTCTCTCATTAATGTTTCTGTCCCTATCCCTCTCCCTTCTCTCTAAAATACCAATAAAACATTTCTTTAAATTTTTAATGTTGTAAATTGCCCTCAATAGCAAGTTTTTACCCCTCTCGTTAATCTGACAGGCAATAATAATATAAAATAAAATAATTTAGTTTGAATTTAGTTATAAAAGTTAGTTATTTCATGTTTTTATGAATTTTATTTTCTTTAAATGCATTGATTTGAGAGAGAGGGAGAAAGAGAAACAGAAACCTCGATTGGTACCTTGGAGTACGAGGATGACACTTTAACCCCATGGTCAGCAAACTGCGGCTCGAGAGCCACATGCAGCTCTTTGGCCTCTTGAATGTGGCTCTTCCACAAAATACCACAGCCTGGGCAAGTCTATTTTGAAGAAATGGCATTAGAAGACATTTAAGTTTAAAAAATTTGGCTCTCAAAAGAAATTTCAATCATTGAACTGTTGATATTTGGCTCTGTTGACTAATGTGTTTGCCGACCACCGCTCTAACCAAGTGAGCTATTTGGCCAGGGCCTTGAATTTTATTTCTTATGGATAGCCTATTTATAGGTTTGTATTTTTAGTCTTTTAATATAGTTTTGTTTTTGGTTTTTTGTTTTTTTTTTAGAGAGGGAGAGAAAAAGATCAGTGAGAGAGAACAATCAATCTACTGCCTCCTGCATACCCCCTATTGGGGATCAAGCCTGCAATCTGGGCATGTGTCCTGACCAGCAACAAACCAACAACCTTTTGGTGCACTGGACCACACTCAACCAACTAAGCCATGTATTTATAGGTTTTTATAGCCTTTATTCTATAATTATTCAGTTCTCTCTTTACAAGTTGAAAATGTTTCTTTCCAGGACACTTTTTTGTTTATTGTATAGTATCTTTTGGTCTACAGAACTCTTTTCATATGGAAGTTTACATTTTTTATGTATACCAGTCTAGCTTGCCTTTTTTTTTTTTTAATCCTCATCCAAGGATATGCTTGATTTATTTTAGGGGGAGGAGGAAAGGAGGGAGGGAGGGAGGGAGGGAGGGAAGCCTTGATGTGAGAGAAATACTGCTTGGTTGCCTCCCACCTTCACCCTGACCAGGTGTCAAACCTGCAGCCTTTTGGTGCAGGGAATGATGGCCAGGGCAGTCTGGTTTGCTTTTAAAGAAATTAGTCATATATCTTTACTTTCTATAACATTGCCTTATATTACCATTTCCATTGGCTACATATAATTTTAATAGCATGATTTATCTTCTTAGATGCTTTTTTGAGTTTTATTTTTTTTAAGAAAATATTGATATTTTACAGAGAAAGAGAGGGATAGAGAGTTAGAAACATTGATGAGAAATATCGATCAGCTGCCTCTTGCACACCCACTACTGGGGATGTGCCTTCAACCAAGGTACATGCCCTTGACCGGAATCGAACCCGGGACCTTTTAGTCCGCAGGCTGACGCTCTATCCACTGAGCCAAACCCGTTTCGGCTGATGAACATTCTTAAAAGTATTTTCTTCTGCCCTGGCTGCTGTGACTCAATGATTGGCATCATCCTGTTCTCTATTTCTGGTCAGGGCACCTGCCCAAGTTGTGGGTTTGGTCCCGGTCGGTGCCATGCAGCAGGCAACTGATGTTTCTCTCTCATATTGATGTTTCTCCTTTTTCCCTCTCCCTTCCTTTCTCTCTAAATCAATAAAAATAATTTTCAAGCCCTGGCTGGTTTGGCTCAGTGGACAGTGTCAGTGCTTTGGTTGCAGGTACATCCCCAGTAGGGGGTGTGCAGGAGGTAGCTGATGTTTGTCATCGGTGTTTCTCTCTATCCCTCTCCCTTCTTCTCTGTAAAAAATATTTTAAAAAATAATTTTCAAGTATTTTCTTTGATTACATCTGTGTATCCTTTGGATCCTTAAAGGTGGAATTGTAGTGACTGAGTATACAAATTTTAAGGTTTTTGGTTCTTACTGTGAAATTGCCCTCCAGAAAAGCTGTATTAGAGTTCATATTTCTAACTTTAGGCTTAAGGCCATTTGAGAGGACCTTTTTTTCCCTTTGTTTTCATATTACAAAATACACCCCAAATTAACAGATGGATATATGTTCCATTTCACTTCCTAGAGGGTTATCACTGTTAATTGTGTGTATATTCTTCCAAAACATGGATACAGGGAGAAGCATTTTTTTTAAGTGATTTGTAGAGCTGAAGTTTCATTTTTAATTTTTAAACAAGTATATTTTGTTGATTTTTTTTTTTTTTTTTTTTTTTTTTTTTTTTTTTTTTTTTACAGAGAAGAAGGGAGAGAGAGAGTTAGAAACCTTGATGGGAGAGAAACAAGGACCAGCTGCCTCCTGCACACCTACTGGGGATGTGCCTGCAACCAAGGTACATACCCTTGACCGGAATCAAACCTAGGACCTTTCAGTTGGCAGGATGATGCTCTAACCACTGAGCCAAACCAGTTAAGGCACAGGGAATGATTTTAACAGCCAAGACGCTGTCTGTGTCTTTGCTGATACTGTCACCCTTTTCTGCTCTGCCTCGGTAGAACTCTAATCCTTTGATGACTGTCTCCATCTCTTATTCCTCTAATTCTACCTTTTTAATGAATTCTTGGATCAGTAAATGAATTGCCGTTTCTGGAGCATCCTCTCTTTCCCATCAGGCTTCTTGAGGGCAGAGACTGGTGAACACTAGACCATCTGAACTCTGCCTAGTATTGAGTTGGGCATTGACCTCAATGCCCAACTCAATACTAGGCAGTGAAGATAACCTGAATAGGGGCTACCACGCCTGTATCAACTGACTTAGATGCTTCCTAGAGGTTCTCAAGTCTGTTTTGAGCGTTTGCCTGAGGAAAAGAGGCTTCCCCAGAGGCTGGGAGAGGGAACAGATTCACAGGCACGGCTCCAGGCTGACTGGCCTCTGTGATGCTGCTCTTCCCCAGGTATGTGACCTTGAGTGGTCTCCCCTTTGTGGTTGTGAGGATAAGTTAGAGAATGGGTGTAATGTCCAAAGTAACATCTCTTGTACATGGAAACACAACCAAAAACATGAGCTACTACTACGGTATCAACTTGGACTTCTGCAAGAGAGGATGCAATGGGAAGTAGACCCCTTATCGTATTTATATGCCAAAGGCAACCAGAGCTCCCAGCAGACCCTCCAGCACTGCTCCAGCGTCTTTCAGGGCAGACCTCCACTCTGTTTTAACAATCAGCATGTTTAATTGGGCCCCTCTGTGGCACTGTCTCCTGCTTCCTCCGAGGTCCTCATGCCATGGGCTCGGACTCTATACAAGCATGTGAAGTGGGGGTGACCCCAGTTGCTTAGAATCTGTATCTTCACCTTGGGAAAGGCAGTTGGGGGGTCATTCTGGGGAGACAAATAGATTGTGCCAAAGACTGCCTATCCCAATCTTCCCTCCCTGTCCCACTCCCTGGGCACCCTCAGCCTCAGACAAACACACCTGTAGGCGGAAAGTCTGAATCTCAGATTTCTCCATGTCGAAGGTGAATTTCCCCAGGAAAACTTCCGTCTCATCATCAACCTGGAGGCCCTGGTGGGCGAAGAGTGAATGAAGGGACAGCGAGGCACCAGTGGAGGAGGGAGAAAGCAACTGTTGGGGACCTACTGCCGTGTTTTCCCGAAAATAAGACATCCTCCAAAAATAAGACAGCGCATGGAAAGATAAGGCATCCCCTGAAAATAAGACGTAGCGCAACTTTGGGAGAAAAAATTAAATAAGACACTGTCTTATTTTAGGGGAAACGGTATGTGTCAGTAGCTGCATGCATGCTCTTATTTACGCTTTGGTGTTGGGATAGTGTAGCGGGGAATGTGGGCTCTTAAGAAACGGAGCTGCAGCCAAAACCGGTTTAGCTCAATGGATAGAGCGTCGGCTTGGGGACAAGGAACCCGGGTTCGATTCTGGTCAAGGGCATGTACCTTGGTTGCGGGCACATCCCCAGTGGGGGCTGTGCAAGAGGCAACTGATCGATGACACTCTCTCATCGATGTTTCTAACTCTCTCCCTTCCTCTGTACAAAATCAATAAAATATATTAAAAAAAAAAAAAAGAGAAACGGAGCTGCAATTTGTAGTCTGGCCAATTACCTGTGACTTTGGGCAAGTAAGGCTCCCTTTCTAAGCATCACTTTTCTCACTGTACAAGGGATATGTAAGTTGTGTAACTGCCAGGTGATAAAGCACAGAGTTAGTGCTCATTAAACCACAATTAGTATTTGGGTATGGCTGTAATTATCTATAACCTATGGCAGCCCCGACAGGCAAATGGTATTTCCATTTTATAGATGCGCAAGCGAAGACTGTTGGCACCAGTTTTCATGAGTGCCTGGTGCTTTCTAAGCAAAACCCCCCACCTCCTTGGCCTCAGTCCCACTTACATAGACTGCGAAATCGCGGGGGGCACTGTTGGCCCCCCCGGTGTGTGCCACACTGGGAGGAGGATGCTGCAGGGTAATGTCGCTCAGCTGCACACGGCCCGGCAGCCGGATCACCACCTGGCCCTGGTCCCCCTCAAAAGCCCAGCAATTCCCAGGGAACACATCAGGCTGCAATCGGACAGGACAGTCATTCAATCAGAATCCGCAGACCAAGAGACTTTGTCCTTCTCTCGCCTGGCTCAGTCCTCCACCTCCAGCCCGAGCAACTGCTTAAACAGATCCTTCCCCCCACCTCTTGCCAGGTTTCTCCGCAAAAGGAGCGTCAGCCAAGCGAGGTCGGGCCTCCAGCCCTGCCCCCTGGCCCCGCAGGGCCCCGCCCAGACCCGCCCCACCTGGCTCAGCTGGGTCCAGGGAGCTATTGGGTCCTTCCCCAGCCTCCCGCCCCCAGGCCATCCGGGATCGCGTCCCAGGCCCACCTCCAGGATCACCATGGGGGGCCGCGCGTAGTTCCAGAAGCTGAAGCGGTTCCAGAAGTAGGCGCTGTTTTCGTCCTCGTAGTCGCGGGATGTCTTCTCTAGGTCGATGGAGGCTCCTGGGACGGGGGAGAGAAGCAACCGCTCAGACTCCCCGGCCGGACCCACAGCCGGGTCAGGGTCCGTCTGAGGTCGGGCTCCTTGGATCCGTGGTGTGTGTCTAGGTCTAAGTCACCGTCTGCGTCTCTTTCCGTGTGTCTGTCTCAGTTTCCCAGTGACTCTGGGTCTTACCCACGGAGCTCAGCGCATAGTCGGGTTTTCGAACAAAGTCCTCATTCAACCTCTGGAATACGAGCTTGGCCACTCTCTGAAAGGAGGGAGGACGGGGCTTGCGGGCTGGTTTCATAGGTGTCTGCTATGGGACTTTGTGGCCCCAGAGGAATCACGAAGTTGGGGCTCCGGGGCAGGGCTTTAAGGTGCGGACCCAGCGAACGGGAACCGGGCAGCAGGGGGAGCTCTCGGCGCCCCGGGCCCCGGCTGTCGGAGCGGCCGGCGGCGGGGCTCACCTCGCTGTTGGCTGCGCGGACGCTGGACACCTCCTTGTGGAGCCTGTCCAGCTCGGCCTGCAGCTGCTGCAGCTGCTGCCCCTGCGTGCGCACGCGCTCGTGGTACTCGCTGCAGGAGGGAGGTGGGCACAGGGTGGTTGGCTCCCTGTGCCCGGGACACTTCCCGTGAGCCCCTCCACAGGAGCGAACTCTGGGTCCCCCAATTCCACACCCCAGGTGCCATCTTTCACCTGATAGTCAGCAGCTCAGGTTCCTATGGGGGGAAACAACACACAGCGCTGCTCAGTTCCCCCCACCTCCCTCCCCTGTCTCCCTTCAGCCTGAGAGCAGCCAGACTCAAAGGGCCTTCCTCCCCTGACCTTCCAGGACCCCTCCGAGGCCCTCAAGCACCTCTGGGCACAATCTCAGAAATCTCCTATTTATAGCCAGCTCTTCCAGCACTGTCCCCTCCTCCCGGCAGCCCAAGGGACACCCCACACTCTCCAGTTTCCTAGCCTGCCACCCCCCACCGCCACCCCAGACACGGGTTCCCGGACTCACACTCTCCAAAGGAGGGACCAGGTACAGGACACCCCACCCGAGTGCTGGAGAAAGAGGAGGGGGAAGGTGGTCTCAGGGGAAGGAAGGGGGAGAGGGTTTCTCTGGCATAAAGGACCATGAAGAAGAGGCTGAGGGGTTGGAGTCTGATGGGGGGCTACCGGGCTCTGCAGGAGACTGCGGAGGGCTGAGGGGGCAGAGGGATGTAAGGGAAAATGCGCCCGGTTTGGCTCCATAGCATCCAGGGCTGGGGCCCCGGGGAATTCGCCCCCTCACCTGTCAGAAAGAGGCTCAGCAGTGACACAGCCGTGAGCAGGAAGCGAATGGAACAGACTTCCCTGAAGAACCGGGAGGGAGGCTGAGGCCTCTGGACCCCAGTGAACCCCCTAACCCCACCCCCCACCCCCAGCCCAGGCTCTTAGATCCAGCCACTCCTATGAACACCTCTCAGCCGGGTCTGAGCCCGCTCCCGCCTCCTCTAACGAGCAGCCCCTGGGGCTCCCCCTTTCCTCCCTCTGACCTGTACACACTGACCAGCACGTCTCCTAGCGGGGACACACACACGCTCAGCACCTGGAAAAGTGGGCCTGGGAGAGGAGAAGGGAGGGCTCAGGGCGAGGGGACTGCAGCTCAGAGCAGGCGGCGCCGAAGAGGGCTGGGCAGGAGGACTGGATGGGGCAGAGAGTGCACTGAGGCTCAGGGACGGGGCTGCGGACGGGACGGGGGTCTCAGCGGGGAGAGCTGGAATGCAGGGCGGGGAGCCGGGGCGGGGGGTTGGGGGGGAGGGCATCCGGGCGAGCCGGGCACCTACTCAGGAAGCTCTTGAACACTCGCGGGGACTGCATCTCCTGCCTCAGATCCAGGGCCGCGAGAAGGTGGAACTGCTCCTCGGAGACCACGGGAGAGCCAGCCGGTTCTGCGGGAGCCCCGGGCTCCATTGGGCCGTGCGCACTGCGGGCTCTCCCTCCCCCCGAGGCCGGACGCCGTTCCCGGCCCGGAGGCCCCGCAGCGGCTCAGGCTCCGGTCCCCGCAGCCCCGCCCCTCAGGCCCGCCTCCACGTGTGGGTCCCACCCCCCGCTTTAGGGCTCGGTTCGGGGCCCCTAGGCAGCCCCTCTTGCTAACCAGAGGCCACGCCTCCGCGGTACCCCATCACAGGGTTTCCTCCTCTCTCCCCGGGGTGGTCCATCACAGCCTGAGGGTCTCCCCTCTGCACCCCAGAAGCCCGCCCGTTGGCAGGCGCCCCGATTGGGCGTGATCCCGGCTCCGCGCCCAGCCCGGCCCTGTGCGCCCCTCGTGCCCCCCTCGGCTTACCCGGGTTCGACCCCGCCCGCACCCGAGGCCCCGCCCCTCACGGTTGCCGCGCCCTCGGCGGTCGGCGCACTGTGGCTCCGCGGTGCTCCTCCGGGCAGTCCTGGGTTCAAGGCGGGCTCACCGCAGCTCGAGCCCTGGGCTCTCCTGCCCTCGGGCTCCCCGGGGCCCGGCCCAGCTGACCGATGGCCGCTGCTGTCCCCCGAGGTGGTGCTCACTGAGCTGTTGCTGTTGTCGCTATAGAAGTTGGGCGCCTGCTTGTGCGGGGACGCGGCCGAGCCCGGGGGAGGGCCCCGCCGCATCCTGCCTCCGCGCCGCCGCCTCCCGGACGCCAAAGCCAAGCCCTCGGCCGCCCTCCGCGGTGCGCGCGCCGGGACCCCGGAGCCTGCGTGCAGCCGGCGGGCCCCGCGCCAGGCCGGCCCCTGCGTGTGCCCAGCCGCCTGCTGGCGTCACAGAGCCGCGGCCCCGAACGCCGGCGCCGCGTCACAGAGCTCATCGTGACGTCACTGGGGGCCGTGTTAGAGCCATGACACCGCAGCACTTCCGGAGCACCCTGCTCGGCTTAAAAGAATTTCTATTTTTCTACATCCTCTGTATGGAACAGGTTCTCAAATATTTATGAATGAATGAATGTTAAGCAAAGTCAAGGGCTCACCTGGGGGACTTCTAAATATAATAATCATTTGGCCCCAGTCGGTTTGGCTCAGTGGATACAGCGTCAGCCTGCGGACTCAAGGGTCCCAGGTTCGATTCAGGTGAAGGCACATGCCCGTGTTTTGGGCTTGATCCCCAGTAAGAGGCGTGCAGGAGGCAGCCCATTGATATTTCTCTCTCATAGATGTTTCTAACTCTATCCCTCTCCTTTCCTCTTTGTCAAAAATTAATAAAATATATATATTTAATAACTTTTTATTATTCATATTATTACAAATGTTCCTTCCCCCGCCACCATTGCTCTCCTCCACCAGGTTCCCACCCCACCCTCTGCCCTTTCCCCACTCCCCATTGACCTCATCCATAGGTGCACAGTTTATCTTCAGTTTCTTCCCACATCCCCCTCTCCTCTTTTCCCCAAGAATCGTCAGTTCACTCCCCTTCCATACTTCTGATTCTATTACATTCAACAGTTAATATTGCTCATCAGATTTTTTTTAATTTCCTTGGTTTTTAGATTCACTTGTTGACAGTTACGTATTTGTTGTTCATAATTTTTATCTTTATTTACTTTCTCTTCTGAAAGAACCCCCTTTAGCAATTCATATAATTCTGGATTGGTGTTGATGAACTCCTTTAGCTTTTTTTTTTATTAGTGAAGCTCTTTATTTGACCTTCGATTCTGAGTGATAGCTTTGCTGGATAGATTATCTTTGGCTGTAGGTTCTTACTATTCATCACCTTGAATATTTCTTGCCATTCCCGTCTGGCCTGCATGGTTTCTGTTGAGAAGTCAACTGACAATCGTATAGGTGCTCCTTTATAGGTAACTACCTGCTTTGCTCTTGCTGCTTTTAATATTCTCTCTTTGTCTTTTGCTCTTGGAATTTTAATTATGATTTGTCTTGGTGTGGTCCTCTTTGGATTCCTTTTGTTTGGAGTTCTGTGCGCTTCCTGGACTTGTAAGTCTAATTCTTTCACCAGGTGGGGGAAATTTTCTGTCACTATTTCTTCCAGTATGTTTTTGATATCTTGCTCTCTCTCATCTTCTGGGACCCCCATAATTCTGATGTTGGTTCGCTTGAAGTTGTCCCAGAGGTTTCTTACATTATCTTCAACTTTCTGGATTCTCTTGCCTTCTAGCTTCTGCGGAGGAGTGTCTTCTGGCTCTTTATGTTCCAAATCTTTGACTTGATTCTTGCGATCTTCCATTCTGTTTTTAGGACTCTGTATAATATTTTTTATTTCAATGTATTCTTTATTTCTTGTTGATCCCTTTTCATTTCTTGTTGATCCCTTATCATTTCTTGTTGATTCCTTATTAATTCTATTATAGTTGATCTCTTTTCATATCCTCATAGGTCTTGTCGATCTTTTCTAGGAAATTCTTGAAAAACCTTATAAGTGTAGATTTGAACTCTATATCCAGTTGCTTTTTGTCCTCCATTTCTTTCGTTTGTGATCTATTTCGTTGTCGCATTTTGCAGCTACAGATGGGGCGAAGTTTCAGGGTGGAGCCTACAGCCTTGGCTTCTGTCAGCCCCGCCCTATGCGGCTCCTGGGTCTCAGGGTCCTTCAGTACTCACTGCAAGCCCCTCTGAGAGAAAGGTGCCCTCAATTTTCGCCTGCTACCAAACAGTCTAGTCTCTCCCTCAATGGGCCTGAAACTGGGGTTCAGCTCAGTTGGAAGTGGAGTTGGAGGTGGTGTTCAGAGCAATCCGGAGCCCCAGTCTCCTTCCCGGCCAGGGCAATCCCGCAGCACAGCCAACCGTTTCTTCTCTGCGCACAATGTGTGCGCCACCAAGACCTCCTTTCGCCGCTCCCCCAGGGTTCCGCCTTACAGCCCAGCTCCCTCTGTTTGAGCCTGGGTCCCCGGGGTCTGGCCTAGAACTGGGGTTCAGAGCAGTTGGAACTGGGGCCCAGCACAGTCAGAGTTTTATCTCCTTCCCGCTTGGGAACGTCAGCCAGGCACTCAGCCGCCCTCCTCTCCGGCTCCGTCCTCTTCGCGCGCCGCGTGTCTCCGTACCTCAGGCTTTTCCAGCTCCTCCACGCTTCCTTCTGGTTTTCTCCTTGCTTCTCATTGTAGAATATCCAGTCAATCGACTTTCCTGTAGTTCTGGGTAATGTCCATTTTATATTTTAGTTGTATTTTATTGAAATTGTTGTGTGCGGCTGCGGCTAGGTGTTTACCTGGGCAGCCATTTTGGATTCTCTCTCAAAATTATTTTGGCTGGGGTCCCTGAACACTTTGGCAAGTGCTATTGTATTGTATGAAACAATAATGACTTTATGGCAGACCTCAAGGGAAGAGCTAACCTTTGGTTTGCACGAACTTTGGGTTTTGAATTGTAGACATCTTAGGCCATACTGAGGCACCAGGAGAGGACAGGGAAGACAGCATGTCCCTCACCTCGACCAAACCTGATTCTCATAAAATATATTTTAAAAATAAATAATCATTTAGTCTCTCTTGCTTTGCAAACCCTTCAGGCCCCTCCTCTCATCCTAGTCATGAGGCCTTGAGAACTCTGACATTACGGGATCTTGGTTCTCTCTCTCAGACCTATGTGCACTAGGGGTCTGTGGGGTGAAAATTCAGTAGCCACCCACCAACCATCTGAGTCGAGGAGAAGGGAATGGGGAAGTCACAAATGGCCGAGGCCAAGAAACCTGAGGTTCACAGACTCCTGAGCAGCAGCACATAGAGATTTGAGTTCCCAGGTACACCTTGAGATTCTACTTCAGCATCTGTAGAGTGGGTACAGGAATGTGCATTTTTATTTTTTAGATATTTTTTACTAATTTCAGAGAGGAAGGGAGAGAGAGGTAGAAACATCAATGATGAGAATCATTGATCAACTGCCTCCTGCATGCCCCTCACTGGGGATCAAGCCTGCTACCTGAGCATGGGCCCTGACTGGGAATCGAACCATGTAAACTCCTGGTATATAGTTCTATGCTCGACTACTGAGGCATGCTGGCTGGGCAGGAATATGCATTTTTAATGACCACGTGTGTGATCCTGATTAAGGACCATGCTTTGCAAGCAATTCAGTGAGTCCTGTGCACGTTGCACAGCTAGGCACACAGGTCCAGAGAGGGGAAAGGACATTCCTAAAACCACACAGTGGGTGATAGAGATTAGAATTCCAAAGCCCAGTACTCTTTCCACTACATCCCATCTTCTCTGGAATATTAGAACGTGGAAGTGGCAGTTGTTAGAGGGGTTGAGGCCGAGAGAAAAGCTGCCAGCTGTGTTCCAGCCCAGAAAGGAGGGACGAGGTTCCAGAGGAATGGCACCAGTACCTGGATGCCACAGAGCTCAGGGAAGAAGAAAGGGAAAGGCAAACTAAGGATTCTGGTTCCCCTTCTGGGGGTCTCAGGGTCCCCTCCTGTCAAATGGGGAGGTGAAACCCTCCCCCAGCATCTGGGGGCCTGAGGTCTAACCTGGATCTTGTTTAGAAACAGAACACCCCATGCCTGTTGCCTGGTGTTCTATAGAACCCAAAACATATTTGACATCAGCACTTGGGAAACAGGTAGCACAGGACTTCCTAGCCCCACTGTTGAAACAGAGAAGCTGAAGAACAAGAAGGGACCCTATCTGGCTCAAGACCACACAAGGCCCAGATCCTGACGGCCTAATCTTATCTGCTGCTGCTATCCAACACACACCTTACGCGAAGGCCAAACTAAACAGACCACAGATTCAGGAACACACCCTGTATTCCTCCGCACTGCCTGGAAGTCCACCTCTGCTCCACTCCTGTCCTCAGCGCCCACTTTAAATGCTCCCTTCTCAGGAAGCCCCTCTGGCCTCCCTCCTCCAAGCAGCCCGGCCTGACTCGTTTCTGTTCTGATGGGGACGGCAGTCTTTCTGGGCTGTGTTTGATGTTGGCGTCCACAAAGCTACTGGAAGACAGAGAACATGCCCAATTCACCTCTGGCTGCAAACCCTTTCCCTCAGGGTGTCATAGCACAAGCCCTGCATTAGGAGGTGCTGTTAAGTAGAATGATTCAGTGGATGGCCATGGAATACGCTCAGAGCGTAGCTATTGCCACCCACTGGTTCAGTCTACAAGATTCATTCATTCCTTCGTACATTTAGTAAAAGTACTACACACCTGTGTAAGGGTTATTATCCTAAACTAGGAGTTCTATGTCCAGAAAAATGCACACGTGCTCAATATTTTACAGAGAATGTTAAGAGTTTGTTGACTTCCTGGAACTCAACTATAGTCGCACTAGTAAACCTCAAGGACCTCTGGCTTCTGGTTAAGAAGTACTTTTGAGCCCAAACCGGTTTGGCTCAGCGGTAGAGTGTCGGTCTGCAGACTGAAAGGTCCCAGGTTTGATTCCGGTCAAGGGCATCCCCAGTGGGGGGTGTGCAAGAGGCAGCTGGTCAATGTTTCTCTCTCATCGATGTTTCTAGCTCTCTATCTCTCTGCCTTCCTCTCTGTAAAAAATCAATAATATATATATATATTTAAAAAGATATGCTTTTGAACACCTGTTATGTGCAAGCTAAGGACATATCCAATCACTCATTAATTCAATAAATGTGTGAGTGCCTACAGTACTAATGCTGGGGGCTACAGGGTGCATCTATTAACCTGCCCATTTACTCAGCCAGTGTTTTTAAAATATA